GATGGCCTTGCATCTATGAAATTGATATATTTCCTTATTCAAAGTAAAAAAAAAGAAGATATTTAAAGTGCTTTAACTGGTAGATAACCTGCTGCGTATTTAAGCATCAGCGTACAGTTCCATGTCTAGTTAGACACATGATCAAAGATTCCAATTCTGGCCGTACATGGAGGGGATATTTTGTTTCTCAGTGGTGTTTGTAGGATAGTTTCATGGGAACGTTACCAGATCAAAGAGTTTTGTTTTGTTTTTTCCCTGGGAGGATGGCAAGGTTAACCTCCAGTGAGAGACTGACTACAGTAACTGTAGTCCAGTCTTAGCTGTGGATGAATTGGCTCCAACGCACGGGGCTCTCAGAGCAATGCAATGAAACTCTGCCCGGTCCTGAGCCAGCCTCACAGTTGTGCGTGTGTCTCACCCGTGATTGCAGCCACGGCGTGGGTCCATCTTGTGCAAGGTCTTCCTGCTTTTTGCTGACCCTCCATTTTACCAATTACGGTGTCACTTTCCAGGGCCTGGTCGCTCCTGATCACATGCTCAGAGTCCCCGAGACAAAGGCTGGCCACCCTCACTTCTAAGGAGGGTTCCGGCCGCGCTTCCTCCAGGACAGATTTGTTCATTCTCTGGCGGTCCCTGGGACGTTCGGCATTCTTCATAAACACCACACCTCAGAGGCATCAACTCTCCTGTCTTCCTTATTCATTGTCCAGCTCTGACATGCACATGAGGCGACTGAAAACACTATGCACACGTTACTCTTCAAAGTGACATCTTTATTCCTGAATACTTCAAAGGTCTCTTGCAGCAGATTTACGCAATCCAATACAATGTCTTGTTTCTTGATTGCCGTTTCCGTGGGTGTTGATTGTGGATCTAAGTAAAATGATATCCTTGACAACTTCAATCTTTTTTCCGTTTATTGGCATGCTGCTTATTGGTCCACTTCTGAAGGTTTGTGTTTTCTTTCTGTTGAGGTGTAATCCGTGCTCAAGTGTTTCAAGTCCTCTTCACTCTCAGCGAGGAAGGTTGTGGCATTCCTCAGCGTATCTCAGGTTGTTAGTGAATCTTCCTCCAATCCTGATGCCACGGTCTTCATCATAGAGTCCAGCTTCCTGGACTACTTGCTCAGCGTACAGATTGAATAGGTACGGTGAAAGGCTACAAGCCTGACGCACACCCTTCCTGATTTTAAACCAGGCAGGAGCCCCTTGTTCTGTTTGATGTGCAGACGGTGGAGAGCAAATAAGAAGAGGTTGGATAAAAGCAACGGTGGCAACAGTGGATGGGATGTGCTGAGGACACAAGCTATAAAGCATGATGGAGGGTCACCGTACAAGCCTGTCCTGGGATTCGACAAGTTAACCTGGAGATAACCCTTTCAGACTGTGTGATGCACCCATCGCCCATCTGCCAGGTCGTGGTGCTGTTACTATCATGTTGCAAGCTCTGCCTTTGATATTTCTAATCCCACCAGGGTCTCCCAGGGTGGAGAGGTTTTGGCAGAGCTTCCAGACTGCGAGCGAGAGACCAGGAAGAAAGGCCTGGGGGTCTCCTTTTGAAGATCTATAAAGTCTGGGGATCACAGCAGAGCATTCTCTACACAGTGCTGGAGGAGGAGCCCACGGGTTACAAGGCACTTAAAACACACGGTGGCCTTCGCTGGGGACTCGGGCAGCCCAGTGACTGTGGACATGGTCAGGACCAGGCGATGTTTGGGTCTGTTGTCCGTGGGGTCAGCATGAGTTGCAAACAACATGATGGCAACTGAGAACAGCAACCATGTGTGATCCAACAGGGGACCAACTCCAGTACCAAAGGTACATGTCTTGTGTATGCCCGGGACATCCCGAGGCTACGCTGTGTCGCACGAGCAGGTCCCGTGCTCGTGACAAGGACACTCCCCAAAGGACCAAGGAACGAGCCACGGGAACTGCAGCCTCCGGGACCTGGAGCCCAGAGGAACTGGGTGGTGCCTGGCTCCCACTGCTGACTGCGCGAAAGGCATCACTGTGAGAGGTCCTGGAGAGAGTGGGGCAAATAGGGAACAAAACTCAAAATCTTAAAAAAAAAAGACCAGGGTTCCTGGTCTGATGAGAATGGGTGGAAGCCCTGAGAGGCTGGCCCTCAGACACCCTTCAAGCTGGGAACGGAACTGAAGCCCCTGACTCAACTGTCAGCCAAGCAACAGACAGACCTGTGGGGTGACCAGCAATATCAGGAGGGTGTGCGCTCATTACAGCAGTCAGGCCCGAGAGATCCGGAGGACAGGGTTTGCTCAGGGACAGAGCTGGGAAGTGGGGAGAGGAGGGACAGGAAGGGGAACGGGAAGGGGTGTCCCGGGGAGGCAGTGGGAAGAAGGCTGTTACAGTGTGGCGACTGCAGTCAATGCCACAAAACAGAACGTGCGTGGACTGCTGAGTGGAAGGCCACTTCGCTCTGTAAGCTTTTCCCCCAACCACAACTAAAGAAAGAAAGAAACAAACACCCCCAATAAATATTCTGAAATCTCAAATGCCAAGTAGCTTCTCTAAAAGGATTTCGTGGAATAAATAGAGTGATCCTGTTGGGATGGACTGAATTCCATTCCCCCAAACTGTGTATCATAAAGCCTCACTCTACGCAGGTGGTGGCAGTCCCATTTGGGAATGGGTTGTGTTTGTTACGTTAACGAGGCAGGTTTAGTGCAGGGTTTCTTTCCAGGTAATCTCTTTTAAGATGTAAAAGGAGCAGACAAACAAGGGAGATGGGGGAAGTTTGATAGCAAAGGAGAACAAATTTTGATACCAACAAAGTTTGATACCAAAGGAAACAAGCGGAAGAGACGAGGACCTTCCCCAGAGGTGACACACACACAGCCTCCCACTCCAGCCGCGCCCTGATTCGAATGTCTAGCTTCTTAAACTGTGAGAAAATCAATTTCTGTTTGTGGAAGTCACCCCCTTGTGGTATTTCTGTTAGCACTAGAGAACTAAGACACCTGTGCCAGGGAGGGTAGGTATGGTGGTAGAAGATGGGTTCCTTTCAGAAGCCAAGCCCCCCAAGTTAGCCGATTCAGACCTCAGGAAGTGTTTCATTTGGGAGTTACTGAAGAAAGCACGCCACTCAGTGAACTCGGCAATGAGCCAACTGCCTGCTGCAGCAAAAGGAAATTTAAAAAATGTCAATTCAGATGCAATTGTGCTAGGCTGTTGCTAAGAGACGTATCAGAACCTCAGATAGGAACTGAGATGGTTGTGAAGACGGATGAGTCCAGCCCAGTGGTTAAGTGGTCACTGCTAACCGCGAGAGAGGAGGTTTGAACTCAGCCAGTGGTGCCTTGGAGGAAAGGGCTGGCCATCTTCTTCCACAAAATTAGCCACTGAGAAGCTTACGGGACACAGTTTTACTCTGACACACCGAGGCTCACCATGCATCGGAGTCGACTTGATGGCAGCTGGTTTGTATTTCTATTTTTATTTTTTTGGAATAGGGAAATACATTAAAAGAATTTTAAAATTGTATTTATGGTGAAGATTTATAGGAAATACATTTTTTTAACTCTTGGGTCAAAGCGTTACATTCTTTGATAAAGAAAAATGCTACAAACGCTGACATTTGAGACTCCATTTCTCTCCTCGGCATGTCCTCAATCTGTCAAGAAAATGAGGGAAAAATTTCAACGTGCGGGCGCTAGATGGCGCAGTCGCTCCGCGGAAGATGAACGCCAAGGTAGCGCATCGGCGCTCTCGGTTCCAGGCAGACAAAAAATAAACATAAAACAACCAGAATAGTTAGAGAGGAAGAGACAATTAATGCTTAGTGAGTTCATTAACAAGTCCTGTGCTGTTGAAGTTGGCGAGGGGACAGCGAGTCTCCCCCCAAAGCAGGAAGACCCCGTGTGCTGACACCTGACCAGGAAGCCCTCCAGGGTTGAACTGCCGGGTCCACAGGCTGCGTGGAGATGGGGGGCTGCCCTCAGCTTGTTCTTCAGCATGGGGCGGGGGACCCCAGCTGCTGCGTGGGTCCAGGATAAGGTACAGAGTCCAGAGGCAAGGGGAGTGTGTATCTGCACAGTGTTAGGAAGACATTAACCAAACCCACAGCCATGGAGCCCATTCCGACTCATAGAGGCCACCACTGGATTCCCAAGGCAGGAAATCTTTACAGATTGTCCCATCTTCCTTCTGCAGAGCGACTGGTGGGTTTGAACCACCAACCTTCAGCTTAGAGTCAAATGCCTTAAGCTCCGTGTCATCAGAGCTCTGTAGACATTAACCTTTAACAACAAAACAAAACGAAAGTCACTGCCATCCGGTCAGTTCTGACTCACAGCGACCCCCTTTGGGTTTTGGAGGTGGTACATCTTTACAGAAGTGGATTGTGCTGTCTTCCTCCTGTGAGTGGCTCGTGGGTTTGAACCGCACCCTTCTGGTTCGAAGTCAAATAAATGCCTTAGGCAATACCTCACCAGAGCTCCTTAGACATTAATTAACCTGTTGTTATGTGCTGTCAAGTTGAACCTGACTCATAGCGACCCCTCCTTGGGTTTCCGAGGCAGTATGACTATGGAAGTAGATTGCCCCATCTTCCTTCTGGTAGGTTTGAACCGCCAGCCCTTCTAGTTAGCAGTCAAGTGCCTTAGGCACTATGCTACCAGAGGTCCCAGACATTAACCTACTGCCCTGGAATTGATCCTGACTCACAGCGCCCCTAGAGGACAGAGTGGAACTGCACCACAGGGTTTCCAAGGCTGTCAATCTTCACAGAAGCAAAGCCCAAACCACACCCACTGCCTGGAGTCTATTCTGACCCACAGCGCCCCTAGAGGACAGAGTGGAACTGCCCACAGGGTCTCCAAGGCTGTCAATCTTTAAGGAAGCAGACTGCCTCATCTTTCTCCCACACAGAGGCTGGTGGTTTCCAACCTTGCTCTTTTGGTTAGCACCTGAGTTCATTAACCACTAGGCCACCAGGGCTCCTTAGCAAGACATTGGGAGACTTCAAGAAGGAAAACTACTTACCTGACTCATGTCTAAGAGGCAAAGGGAAGAGAGGGCCAACTGGTAGACCTGTTTTCTCATCTTCGATACAATGTGTTGACCCGCTGGAATTTTCTGCATATCCTACCACTCTGCATTGGGGCTCCCATTTTACAGTATGAGCATTTTGTTGTTGTTGTTGTTCTTAAGTGAAGCCACGTGTTCCCCAAACCGTGGGGAAGAGTACCACACTGCCATTTTTGCCGTGGTTGTGTATTGTCAAGTGGATCCCAAGTCATGGTGAACCCATGGGACAGAGTAGAACTGCCTCCTGTGGTTTTCTGGGCTGTCCTCTTCACGGAAGTCAATGGCCAGGTCCATCTCTTGAGGAAAACCAGGATGAACCAAGTGTAGGGGCACAGCAAGAGAGCCACCTATCCCAGAACCCTCACATATACATGGGAGGTAAGGGTGGTACTTAAGTCTCAGCCTCCAGCAACGTGAAACTCAAGCTCCATCCCAGTCTAAACAGGCATAGAGAATAGGATTTACAGTCCATCACAGAGTGGAGGACAATGGCTAGCAGGGCCACAGTGAACAAGCCAGTGAGCCTAAGGCATTGACTGCTAACCAGAGGGCTGGGGGTTCAAACCCACCAGCCACTCCTCGGAAAAAAGGTTGGGCAATCTACTTCTGTAGTGATAACTGCCTGGGAAACCCAAGGAGGGGTCACTATGAGTTGAATCAAGTCAATGGCAGTGACTTTGGTTTGGGCTTTGCTTCTGTGAAGATTGACAGCCTTGGAGACCCTGTGGTGCAGTTCCACTCTGTCCTCTAGGGGCGCTGTGGGTCAGAATGGACTCCATGGCAGTGGGTGTGGTTTGGGCTTTGCTTCTGTGAAGATTGACAGCCTTGGAGACCCTGTGGTGCAGTTCCACTCTGTCCTCTAGGGGCGCTGTGGGTCAGAATAGACTCCAGGCAGTGGGTGTGGTTTGGGCTTTGCTTCTGTGAAGATTGACAGCCTTGGAGACCCTGTGGTGCAGTTCCACTCTGTCCTCTAGGGGCGCTGTGGGTCAGAATGGACTCCACGGCAGTGGGTGTGGTTTGGGCTTTGCTTCTGTAAAGATAAGAGCTCTGGTGGCGCAGTGCCTAAGACATTTGTATGCTAACCAGAAGGCTGGCGGTTCAAGCCCACCAGCCACTCCTTGGAAGGAAGGTTGGGCAATCTCCTTCCATAGAGATACCGCCTTAGCAACCCAAAGAGAGATCGCTGGGTCGGATGCAACTCAACAAACAATAGTGAGTTTGGTTTTTGAGTTAGCACTGCAATGGAAATGCATTGTGTGTGTTCATCCAAGATTTCCATCCTGCATGGAGAATTCTCTGGAGTAAGTGGCAGATTCCGCATTCGACGTTGCAAGAAAGGATGTGACAAGCAGAGTTCCCTGTCAAGCTGCCCAAGATGCTACTGAAAAGTCTACACCATGATGTTGTTCGCTGCTGTTGCGTCAGCCCCCACCCCCACAGGGACCCCACAGACAACTGAGCGGAGTCTTGACCAGCCCTGCATCACCCCCACCAATGCCGTCAATCAGAGGAGTGTGTCTGTGGAATTCTCAGCGGTGGTCAGAAGGCCGGGCGGTTCTTCCTAGTCTGTCCTGCTCCGTAAGCTCCTCTGAGACCTGTTCAGGATCATAACACCCTGCAAGCCTCCGTGCACAGACGAGTGGTGGCTCCGGGTGGGGTGCACTGACTGGAATCCATCCTGGGTCTCCCCTGCGGAAGGTAAATATTCCTCCAGTGACGCACCGCTGCCCCTGTTGAAAATGCATACAGTGGGGGGAGGCCCAATTGTGGGGTGATAATGGATTGGTTCCTGCAAACAGGCAGGAACCTGTTCCGTTCATGTAGTGGCTGGTCAGCCTTTGCAGGCCGCTTCCGCCGAGTGAGTCAGCCACACCTGGACTCGATGGGCTCTCCTGTGTCTTCGGGACTCCAGCTGTGCACATGCAGAACTGTCTGTTTCCCTCCTGCGAGGCATTCATCTTCTTCAACACAACTTCTGACCGTGGACACCTGGTGACCCGCGGGCCTCACTGGTGGGTGCTGTGATTTGCAGCGTGTCACCTGCAATTCTGCTGAGAGCCTGAGCCCTGCGTGGTGTTAAGCGGTGTCATTCGGTAGCGAAGAAACGCGGGAAACATTTCAGCTCCAATTCGGGGTCTTGTTTGTTGACTGCAAAGCCAGGAAATTGGCCGAGCCAAGACTACTCACGTGGAAACTAGAGACTGCAGTCCCTGGCAATCAGGGGACGAGATCCATGTCTGTTTCTTTCTTGAATTTTACTTTTGTTGTTGTGACAATAGACGCAGCAAAACATACACCAATTGAGCTGTTTCCCTGTGTACAGTTCAGTGACACAGATGATATTCTCTGAGCTGTGTCCTCCTCCTCTTCCT